ACACCTTAATGATGTGAGCCCCAAGAGTTCAGAAGTTGACATCAGGTATTTATCAGGTGCACATGATGTACAAGAATAAAACTTATATTGATTTTTGTACTGCAATCACATTCAAAATATATTCAATATCTACATTTGTGATGCAAAATGAAATCAAACTGAATTTTCTAACACTAGGAACTATTTCTTTGTTTCGATCAAGCCAATTTTCTGTTAATTCTCCCTTTTTATACAGTCATAAATATGTATTACAAATAAATTATTATCTTGCTGTAAAATCTACATGTTTATAGCTGGTGGCAATATACAAGAACCCACACAAATAAAGTGATAATGTTTTTGCAGAACTACTATGAAAATGTCTTTATGTGTCTTTATGTGACTTCAGATGATCGATGTGATTAATCGGGTGATTACTTGAGAGCTGCTATTGAGACTAACCCACACAATAAATGTGTCTTAGTTTTTATTCTCAGCAAATTACTTTTTAGGTAATTATTAGACATTTGATAAGAGAGAAAATAAGAAAGAGATGGAATCAGAAAGAAAAGTAAAAGGATGTACAGGGGAGAAAGAGCAGATGAGAGGTGGTCAGGCCTGTGAAGTGAAGGTGGGGGGTGAGGGCTTGAGTAGAGGAAAAGGAGGAGGCCAAGAGGCATGGAGGAGGAGGAGGAGGAGGAGGAGGGTGAATCCAGGCTGACCCCAGTGTCTGTGTGTGTTGTTGTGTGTCTCAGTGGGTTTCCTCTGCCCTGGCGCCAGCTGGAAATGCCTCCACTAAGCAGAGGCAGTACACACATCATCCTCCATTCAGTCCCCTTTGATGGCAGTAACACTATACATGCCCAGCGCGCCTCACAGATCCTATCGAGCTGCTGCTTAAAGGGCGGGGAGCGAGAGCCGGGGCTGATCATAACTTATCGAGTGCCTGGACGCACTGACATCCAGACGAGTTGCCGTGCACAGCAAATAAATGCAAGAACAATTGATGGGGTTTGTAATTGAAGTGATGTTGTGTTGTTGTTACAGTGGTGGAGGTTTCATGAGTTACGCTGCCACCTAGGGGTCATCTCCCATGGTTGCAGAGAGGAATGTGGTCCCCTCTGCTTCTTTTTTAAACCACCAGTTTGATAAGCAGGGTTTAAGTGGATCATGTTTTCTTAAAATCCTTTCGAGTGGAGTTGTCTTCATATCCTTTTTTCGCTTCACAAGGGAACAGTACTTTTCGGTTCACACAGTCCTCAGTTGTTCCTTAAAGTCGATCCTTGCAATGGTGTTTTTAAAATGACTCAAAAGCCATGAAATTGGTTATTAGTTTGTTATCCTGCCTTGATGTTGCCCTCATGCAACAAAAACCACGCCAGTAAACAATTATCTGACAGACAAGGCGAGGTAAAGGCCCAGAGCTGCGGCCCAGACGTGCCGTGGGGAAGGAAAAAAATGCGTCTGTGCTTAGCTTAGCTTTTGTTTGCTTTGTTCTGGTCATTACGGAGCCGAAATATTGTCATTACTCATAGACCAAATCATTTTACGACATCCTGCAATTAAACTTTAAGCTAATAGGTTAATGAGACAAATGGAGTTTGAACACTGGAAGTTGGTTTCTATTAGTGATGGCATTGCAAGAAGATGTGCACTGTTGCATGCTTTTACGCACACACAAACACACACACTCATGCAAAAACAAACACAGAGAACAGACTGGTTTGATTTAGGTTTTGCGGTCCCCTCCCGGAGCAGCCTCGACAGGCAGAGAGGACCAGAGCGCAGTGAACTCAAGTCTAGCCAGAGCTCGGTTGTCTCTGCTATGCTTCAAGTTGAAACCCTCCAAATTGGGTTTAATCTGTGTTTTGCTTTGGCAATTATCGACCCGCAGAGCTGCATGGCAAATGGGGATGAATGAGCTTTAGATGGGCCTGGTTGAGTGGGAGGTCACAGGGTGATTAATGGTGATCAGTTGAATCTATGAATCGGCCGGTCGAAGACGTAGCAGGGGATGAATTATCAGTTAATTCACATGTGAAGCAAAATGCAGAAGGTGATGCAGCAGAAACGCAGTTTGAGTGATGGAAGCTCTGAGAATAAAAAAACAAACTTTGACTTCAACCAAAGTTAATTCACCAAACAGTTTTTACATTTATTTGTGAATCAATATGGTTTCTGTATGCATCCAGACATGAGGTCTGGTTAGTGTGTCATGTAACACCAGGGCTGTGGTGGTTCAGTGTTTTTATGAAGATGAATATACTGTCTGTGAGCACACTGCTAATCATCGCTGTTTATTGCTGACATCATGGTGACGTGAGTGCAAAAATCAATTCTATTACTTTGAGCTATTTATTTTTATTTAGTTGTTGGACGGCTCACATTCTTTTCTTTTCCCAATTTGGCTTTATATGACTTCATGTGATTTTAAACATGGAAATCAATTCACTCATCACAAGACATTTTAAAGCACCTAGAGACAACGTGATTTGTAACTTATTATTTTGATCTATACATTATTAGATAGTAGTGAGGACTGTAAATTTCAATTTCCAAGCCTTAAAATAGCTTTTTTTGGATAAACAGTAATATATTAAGTCTTTATTAAGACAAAGAAAAGCAGCAAATCCACTCATTTGAGCTGCTGTCATCTTTATATCAGGATGTCCTCACCTCTTCATGTCTCTGCTGGTGTTGTCCTTGACAAACTGACGCTAAACTATTCAGCTAAACATTTGTGTTGAAACTGAAATTGAATCATGAAAATGAATCATATCAAATTTCTGCTTTTTCTTCCTGTCTGTTAATTTTAAGAGCAGTTTTGAGGGATATGACAAGTTTACCAGGT